AATATATAAGTCTTATATAATATTAAATTATTATACTTAATCTATCTTAATCGAAAATCTAAGTAAATTATATAAATCGCGCTATTAGAATTAAGATTAATATAGCTATATTTATACGACTACTAAATAATTATATCGTCGAAAATCGTAATAAAAAAATTCTCTTTATTATCTATTCTAGAAAAAAGCTAGTCTATATTTTAATTATTCTAAGTTTATCTATATATAATATCTAGCTTAAGTCGACTATTAAATTTTAGATACTATATATTAAGATCGATATTTAGAAGATAGACTTATATATTTTAATTAGACTCTATTATATTAATAAAATAATAGAAATATATCTTATCTTATTCGCTAAGTCTATAATCTAGTAACGAAAAATTCGATACTAGCGATATTATAGTAAGACTTTATATTATAATCTTTTTCGTCTAACTCTAAATCGAAATTCTCTTAAATAGACTATTACCTCTTAACCTTTAATCTTTATTATAAAGATCTCTTAAGCTTACGTTAAGATTCGAATTAAGAGACTTCGTTATATAGATAATATCGTTATAATCTAAATTCGTCTATTTATTATTCGATATTTCGATTTCAAGTTCTAATTCTTATATAATAATAAAATTAGAATTAATATCGATAACTAAAGTCTCGATATCGCTAAGCTCTAAGGCGAAAAATTCTAGAGTATTATTACTTCTATTTACTTACGTAATATTCTTTCATTAAGTATATAGAATAAATAGAGAATTTATTATAAACTAAGAAATATTAATTAATAGTATAACTATATATCGAGTTAGCGTCTCTATAACTAATAAAGAAACTATACTCTATATTATTTAACTCGAGCTTTAAATTAAAGTAAGCATTTCGTCGTTAGAATTATTATTATTTAAATTCTCGTCTAACGATAATTTTAATAAATCGATATTAATAATTAAAATAATAGAAGATTTACTAAGAGAATAGAATAAACGCTATATAATCTCTAAAGAAAAGAAGAATAGTTTATAATAGAGAGAGAAGAACGAATAAAATTCTAATAGTCTAAAAATAAGAAATATAAGACTATATATATATAATTTAGATATCTCGATTATAATAATACTTTTAGATAATATTATAGTAATAATAGCGCTTATAGTAATATATATTAAGATAATAATAGCCTAAATCGAAACTTTAATTAATATACTTATTATTATAGTTATAATACTATCTATATACGCGAATAAAGCGTTTATACTCGATATATTTAAAGAGTATTCTACTTAGATAATTTTATTTATAATAAAGTTTTAGAAGTTAGTAATTTTAATAATATAAATAACTAGATCTATAGATAATAAAGCTATCGATATTTTAAATCTAATATAATTACTATCTTCTAACGCCTTATTTATAATTAATAAAAACTCTACTATATTAAGAGTAGTATTATATATATTTACTAGAGAACTATTATTCTTAAAGCTATTACTCGCTAATATTCTAGCCCCCTATTAGAAGAATTAATAAAAATTATTATAAATATTAAAGGGTTTAATATAATTAATCGACTAGACGAACTTTTTAAAGCTAATATACTTTTAATAATCTTACTCTATCTTATAAATATCGAGATAAGCGAAATTAAAAAATCGCTATTTATAATATTACTAATAAATCTATTAATCTTAATCTCTATATTTATAGTCTTAATAATATTCTTTAATACGATAACGATTAAAGCGAGTAATATGCGAAACTTAGTAATTATAGATAATATTATATAACTAGCATTATTCGTAAAGACTTTTATAACGTATATCTTCTCTAAAGCGTATATACGAATATCTATATTCGTTAGAATAGAAATTAAACTTAATAAGTTAATAAGAGATAATATTAAGTCGATAACTATATTCGTTCTTACTACTATAGTATTATATATAAATATATTTATTAATAATATTCGCGTAACTAATATAGTATATAGTAAAAGTATAAAAGCGAAAGTAAAAAATATAACGATAAAGAATATTATTATTTAAGATCGAAGATATTTAATAAGAGAAAATAAGAAAGAATAATAGAATATATAATAATTTTAAACTATTAGCGAGCTATATATTATTTAAAAAAAGCTATACTAAGCTATAATTTCTTAAATCGTTAAAAACTATAATCTATATAATCGAGGTTATAACGGTTTATAATATCTAGATAATAATTTAGCGAGTAATAATAATATAATAAAAGTATCGAGTTATACTATTAATTTATCTAAGCTAAGCTTTATTTAATTTATCTTATTTATTAACGCGATATTATAATAGCGATAAATAGTTATTTTATTTTAAATAAGCTTATCTAATTAACGCTAGTCTTACTTAATAAAGTTTAATTAGAACGATTAATTAGAAAAAGATAAGACGTAAATTCGAAATTACTTATTATAAAAAACTTCTTTACTCTATTTCCGCCTTAGCTAATTTCTTTTATCGCTATTATTTATACTTTATTTTCATTATACTATTATAGCTAATTACGTAAATTATTCTTACTTTAATTAAAAGTATATTATAAAGTAAAAGTAGATCTTATCGAAGTAGAATATTTAATAATTATAATATTATAAAATTATACTATTAGTCTAATTCTATAATACTTAATACTTAATATTATTAATTATATATATACTTTAATTCTTCTAATTTCTTTTTAATTATTCTTCTTTAATACGATAAAAGAGATATTATTAATAATATCTAATATAGATATAAAAACTACGTAAATCACTCTATAGCCGTATTCTTTACTCTCTTTAATATCTTCTTCTACTTTATATCGCTCTAATTATATCTAATAACGAAATCGTAATTCGATTCGAGGAAATATTAATAGTTATATTCGAGATTCAAGCTCGAAATTACGCTATTCGTATACGCTTTCAATTCGAGTATTAGTTATAAATTATTCTTCGAGATAATAATCTATATCGAGACGTTAACGACGTTAATTTTCTTCTTTTTAAAAAGAAAGAGATACGCGATCGAAATATAGTTAACTAGATTTTTATCTAAAGAAATATTAATATATTAATAGAAAATAATATCTTATATATAATTAGAAAAGAGTAAACTAGCCTTTAGCTTCGAGCTAGAAAATAATCTATCTACTATAATAGAATTTAATTATATCGAGCTTCTTAAAGTCGTATTTTTACTTTAAAGATTTAACGTAGATTTCGATCTCGAGAAAGCGGATATTCTTAAAGTAATAATTAATAAATTCTATTAGATCGAATTTATCGCCCTCTATTACGTTAGAGATAATAATCTTATTATTAAAGCTATATAAAAAGCGATATTAAGACTCTTCTTAATTTAATAATATTAATCTCGGCGAGTAGAATAAAAACTTATAAATTCGAAAGATAGATAATAATATATACTTTCTTAACGTAGTAATTAACGAGAAAGCGGGCGTTAAGAAAGATTTACTCGAAGATATCGTAGATTATAAGAATAGCGATTTAATATATTATATATTAAGTTAGATTAATTATAATCTTATACTTTTCTTAAGTAGCTAACTAACTTCTTTATTAAAATTAATAATATAAATATTATTCTTATCTAGTTTAATCTCTTTATCGATAGACTTATTATCTTATTTAAATTTAGATAAATAGTACTAAGATATAATTATTCGAATAATAATATATATATATATAAATATTAGAATTTAAAGCGGATAAAGAATTCTAGTTATAGAAGAGTTACTTTAATAAAGTATAAAGGGGATATAAGAATTGATAAATAGGCGAATTGAAAAGAATTAAAGTATATCGTTATAATTAAAGAAAAGCTAAGCTATAAAATCTTAAATTTATATATATAGTTAATTATAAATTTATTAGATCTACGCTTTTTAATTAGATATCGCGAGTAAATAAATTAGCGTTCGTAATTATTAAAATCTCGCTCTTTTACGTCTCTCTTATTAAAATAAATAGAGATATATTATTTACATATATAATATCTTTTTTATTTTCTATTAAATTTTTAAGATTCTTTTTTTAAATTATAGAACGAAATATAAGCTTTTAGATAAATAAAGAATATTTATATTTAGTCTTATAATTATTAAAGCGTAAGAAATTTAAATATCGCTTATTAAAGTTCGCTCGATAGTCGAATAGCTTTAATTAGATATATATTATTTAATTTTAAAATAACTTTTTTATTTTCTATTAAAATTTTAAGATTTCTTTTTTAAATTATAGAATAAAATATAGACTTTTAGATAGAAAAAGAATTTCTAAATTTAGTTTTATAATTATTAAAAGGCAAGGCACTTAAATATCGCTTATTAAAGATCGCTTATTAAATCTACTCGATAGTTTTAATTAAAAAAATTATTATAAATTTAATTTATAGACCTTTACTCGTATATTAATATAATAAGATAGTAATCGAAATAATAATACGGAGAAAATAATTTATTGCCTCTCGGCGTTTATCGAATAGTGTCGGATCCGAGAAGCAGCAAGAGTGAGTAGTGTGTTACTTAGGGATAAATGTGATGGAAAAAGGAAAAAGGGCGAGGGTTGTCGAGGGGGTTTGAATTGACTGATGCCAAGATGGACGCCAAGGTAAGTAAATTCTGCCCCGGAGTCAACCCCCCTCCCAGTCCCAGCCTACTCTAGGGTGAGCGAGCGGCGACGAGGTCCACCTATACGTGATGCTACTTACGAAATCAGGAGCAGGAGCAGGGAGCGGAGCAGTGAATAGAAATATTTAACCGTGGTTCTACCACTAGCGTGATCTGTTATTCTATCTTACAGAGAAAACAACCGCACGTTCGGTCCTTCTTTGCTTCCGAGGTTGTTTATTTTCATTTCATGATTCAAAGTTATAGATGTAGATGTAAAAGAAGTAAGGGAGAGTTCTGCTTGCCGAGATCCTCTTGTCCTCTTATGTGAAGCTATATAGCTTTTCGATATGAATATGAATTCGCAATATTCACACAAGTCTCCTACTTTATCACAGGACAAGACATTTCCCAATTCAAACGAATATCTTTATCCGGCCTCATCATATCCCTCTCCCTCTCGGCGCCAAGACTCATCAGATCCAGCTTTTGCCAGCCATCAATATCTAAGTCCGAAGAGGTTTTATGTTGATGTTAACAGCAGGCCTGTAAATGTGTTCAGCAAAGACCCGTTACAAGATGCGATAGATGCTACCTACTTTAGGTACCCACTTGCACCTAATCATACCTCGATTGAAGCATGGATTCACAACACCATCCTTGCGCAATTTCCCGACTCGCCGCCATCCACCAAGACCCTACCCCTGTGTGAAGGCGACATCAAACCAAGTCTTCACAACAAGCAGCAGCAGCAGCAGCCACTTCTCTCAACCTTCGTACCGCCTCCGTCACCTTCTCTCCAAGCTCACCAGAATGCTTGTCAACCTTTAACCAATATTTCTCCAAACCCTCAAAGGCGGAAACAGCCTGTGCATCAGACGGTTGAAGACGTTCTGCCTTTTACCGAAGACCTTCACCGTGGTTGGAAGCCAACAGGATCCCAACTTTCCCCTCTCCCAACGCTCACCACCATCACATCCACAACGGTCCCGTCATTGATCAAGCCTCCCTCCCAGCGCCTGACACTTGCACCTCTGTCTCGCCTGACGAGATCGACTGCAGCCAAGAGACGGAGTACTACAGACGAAAAAGTGACAAGGTCCACGGCGCCCAACAATCAGTCGCTACCTACATCGCTTCAGCCTATCACGCTTCAGCCCAGAATCGCAAAATCAACAAAAGTCGAGAGGTGGACCACAATGAATCCTAGAAGAGGGCCTTCAAGGGGGGCTAAGAAGGATAGCAAGAAGGCGGCTGAACCAAGTACCATCTACAACCAAGACGAAGAAGACGTTCTCCAAGGCCAGAGAAATCGACGTCGGCCTCGAAAACAGGGAAGTGCAGATTTACAGGGTCTAGAATCACCAAATTCCCCGCCAACTGGCCAATGGCCACTGTCTGGTTTGCCTGAGCGCGCAATTGGTGCCTCTGTACAAGAACATCACCCGTCACCGTCTCAGCGTGGAAGTCCTGGGCAGAGAAACGACAACTTCAGTCATCAACGTAGGTCGGGACAGGACAAACCCGACATGATCTTTAGTGCTTGGTCTCCCCGATCGAATCGACACTCCCCATCCAACCCACCCGGCAAATTTACCGCACCAACACTAGCTACCCCAGTACGCGCGCGGAAACAGCAGACCACATTCGTCGAAGCAGGACCATTCATACCAGGGGAAGAGTCTGTCTTCAACGGACGTACTCAGAGGCAGCTCTTTCCCAGCCAACAATCCGCGAATTCCTCACCCCAGAAGAAACTTACAGCTCCACAGATAAGGCTCAATGCAAATCTGAAAGGGGTTTCACCCTCTCCTGCCCAAAAGAGCCAGTCTTCTCAAGGAATGAAATCATCAACACCAAGCGGGAGGAGCAAGGCTGGTAGCGGAAAGACATTTACTCAGAATGCCACGTTGGATCAGATTGATATGGAATATTTAGCAACCTGCGACCCTAGCATCGAGCTCCAGAGTCCGACACTGGTCAGAAAGCACATACCACAACTCCCAACAATGGTTGGCAACTTCCAGAAGATGTGGGCCGAGATTCCACGAAAATTCGTCCCTCATCAACTCAAGGTCAGTATTTCCTGATGTGCGTATAAGAATTTATGACTCATGATCTGCTAGGACTACTATGAACGTCTGAAGCTTGGGGATACTCCAGAAACGCCTAAAGTGGAGGACTTCCTAGAAGGCCACTACGCTGAGTTTCACCACAAGCAGCTTGAAACACTAGCAAGGCTAGTGTCTCAAATTGTCACCAGAGCCCACGAAAATCATAATACAGACACACATGAGAGGCACTGGGGAGCTTCAACCGTCTCCCCACTTCTGAATGAGATCGTCCTTTGGCCGCACCAGAACGATGACAGAGAGAACGCTTACGATATTGAGGCTTATAATATGTAAGTCCCTCATGCTTGGAAGCCTCATCTACTGACGACGCACAGCGAGAATTGCGCAATTGAAATGCAAGCCTACTTTATTGTTCGCTCCAATCAGAATCATCAGACAATCACCCCAGTGGAACCGGGATCCGCTACTGACAGTATCACAAAGATGATCGATTGGTCATTAGCCCTTAAACTCAACGAAGTCGAGCAAGCTGACACGAACGAGGCCTTTCGTCATCTGATGGATTACGAACGAGCTCTCAATCAAACTATTCGCTGGTATAAGAACAAACCTGCTTTCGTGGATTTCGAAATCAAGTCAGAGACGTCGAGAGTGAAACCATTGGTCCAGCTTGCAGTATGGGCAGGGGGTTTGTACTTGAAACGCCGACATCACAACTGGAGCACCGATGCGCCGAGTCTTGGAGTCAGCGTTGTGGGCGCCGAATGGTCTCTTTACGTCACTTTCGAACGCGTACCAGGGAAGCTGATCATGATGGGGCCTTTCAAGCTTGGTTCGACGCAGGACCTACGCGGGGCCTGGGAAATCGTCTTCAAACTCAAATTCATCGCGAACTGGGGCTGGACGACATTTCGACCGTGGTTTAAGGACAACATCATCAACTGGTGCCGGTGGAAGGCCGAAAAGCCGTTGTTGAATCTACTTTCCGTCCCGGAGCCGGAGCAGGAGCAGAAGCAGGACGCGGCGAAGGAGGCGCTTATCAAACAGTGGATGAATTCCGAGGGCCAACGGTCGATCCCAGGCAGTCCTGCACAAGAGGGCATACAATCGGAATTTGGCCCTGCTCGCTAAAATTCGGAGAACGGTACCTGAGTTATTGTGATGGTTCCTTGACCCTCTGTACTAAGTACATGGCTTGCTACGTGCCTTGGTAGCAGGCCACTCAGATATCCACTAGTCCTGATACGGCCTAGTGTCTTGGCGCATGCGCACACATCTTCTTCTGCATGCACTCATGTAATTACTCTACATAGACAGTATTCTATTCAGATTGCCATACACATTTGACGTTCAAATCATTCGGTCCCTGACAGTTATTTATATTTTTAGCGATGATATAACACTGAGAGCACTGGGGGCAGAAGCAGGAGTAGGAGCAAAATTTGCGGAGCGAATCATGGTTTATTTTGAAGCAGGGAGCAGGGAGCCAAGAGCCGATAGCAGAGAGCCGGGAGCAGGAGCAGGAGCAGAAAGCAGAGAGCAAAAAGTAGGGAGTAGGAGCAAAAGCAGTTCGAATTAATAGACGAATTTAAGAAATCTATTAATAGGGGCTTTAATAAGATATTAAGTTAAGTTATCGTATTTCTAGATAAATCTATTATATAGATAATACGTTATAAAGAGTATCTATCGAGATAGCGTAATGATCTTATAACTAGTTAGAGGGATAAAGTAATTACTAAATTAGTTTATTTATACGACTAGTAAATTTAAAGAAATCGCTATTTAACTTAATAATTATATAACTAACTCTCTAAGCGGAGTGAAAGTATTTAAAAGAACGATATTTAGACTATCTATAGTTTTTACGATAGTCTAAACGATCTATAAACTAGGGAAAAAAGTCCTCGTAAAATATAATATTATTTTTCGAATTTGCAGTAAAGCCTTATAAAAGGTATTATAAGAAGTTTTTTCTTTTCTCTTCTTCGCTTAATATCTATAATATTAAAGAATCGAGAGAAATAACGTAACTCTCTTATCTTTATTTTAAAATTATTATTTTTAATATATAATTAAGTAAGATAAATCGAGTTAGTAATCTTCTTACTTAGATATTCGATTAACGATAATTCTTACTATCTAACGATATAGCGGAGAATATCGCGGCTATTATAGATTTATAATAGATTATTAGCGTCGATTAACTACGTAATTAAGTCGATAAGAAGCCTAATTAATTTCTTACTATACTTCGCGATCTCCGCTATTAATAAGACTAGTTTCGAGATATAGCTAAATAATATATCGATCTTAAGACTAAGAAGAATAAGATAGTAAATTAATAAGATAAGGTTTAATAACGCTTAAAGTAAGTTAGTATTAAGGTCGAGAAGCTATAAGAATAGAATAGAGAGCTTTAATAATAGCTAATAATAATACGATTAGATATACTTAAAGACTTATAAATTATCTTTAAGATATAAGCGTTAACCTTAATAGAGCTTATCTAAGTTCTATATCTTATCTATAGAAAAGAGAAGTTTATTAAGCTATCGAATTCTCTCTTCTTTATTAACGATAAAAACCCCGTATAAGAGGATTAATTAGTTAAAATAAAGGAAAAGTTATTAGATAATAAGAATTACTATCTTACTAAGACGTCTTAGATTATCTATCTTCTATTATATATAGATAGAAAAGCGATCTCTTATACTCTAAATAGAAGATATAGAGGTATTATAAACTTCTATATATTAGTTAGCGAGGTTATAAACTAGCTAACTAAGATCTATAAAGAGATAAATCGTTATAAGAAGATAAGACGCGAATATGATTTTCTTTAATAGATAATTTAGCCCTTTAATAGATTCTATATAGAACTCGTTAGACTCGATTTTATACTTAACTATAACGAAACTTATTTAAGAAATAATTTAAATATTAAGCTATAAATATATACTCGACTTTATTTCGTTTTTATAGCCCTTTCTAATTATAAGTCTATGCCTTTAAGGGATATTAAGAAATATCTTATAGATAACGATAACTTATAGCGCGTAAACTATAAACTACATCTAGCTTTAATCGTTAATAAAACGACTTTTAAAATTATCGTAACTCGAATAAGAAAGATAATTATCGCTATAATCGAGGATTATACGCCTTCCGCTATTATATCAAGTACTTATACTCTAAGTATCTTTTAGAGTATATCGAAGACGATAATCGATATAGATTTAAGAAACTTAATATATTTTAATTATAGAAAGACGGGTTATGTAAAGCGCGATTATTTAGTATAGAGATAGACTAACGCTAATAAGAAGGCCTTATAAGAGGTAGGAATCTACGAATTTATTATCGATAACGAATATAAGATAAATCTACTAGCCGACGCTTACGAAGCCTCTAAGAATTCGGGAAATGAATAGCCTCTATTAAAGTTACGATAAGGGGAACTTATAATATATATCTATTAAATACTTTTAATAATTCTTTAGCACGCCGTCCTTTTAGAATATAAGTAACGCTATCGTTATAGGGACGGAAATACTTACTTTAGAACGCTCTTATCGATAGTGGGTGTATTAGGATATATATAGTTATTAATAAGTCTCTAATTTATAGAGTTTATAAAGAATTGCTATTAAAATCGATTTTACTATCGAAATCTAAATCTCTAAAGAATTACGATGGTCGGATCGCAAAGAAGCTTATTATCTACTATTTACTTTCGATAATAATAGTAAATAGCTATCGAGAGGAAACGTATTCTATACTTATCGCCCCTCTTATATATAATATAATTCTAGAAAAACCATAAATAAATAAGTATAGGGTGTTTCTCGATATGATGAAAGATAAGATTCTTTTTATATTAGATCGCTATAATTATAACGATAACGAGACCTCGATAGCGGAGGATCTCGCTATCTTACTAAATTCGAAATCGAAACCCTCTATTCTATAGACTATCTTAAAGAAAGAACCTTCTCTTTAACTCATATATAACGACGACTCGAACTTTACTATCGACTCGAACGTCTCTAGCGAATTAATTAATAAGAAGAGGTTAATATCTACTTTTTAAGACGTAAGATAAAAATAAGATATGAATCTATAATTTATTAATATCGTCGAAATTAATATTATATTATACTATTAATTAGCGCGTAATAAGGAAAATCGTCTATTTACTCTTATTATAAACGAGATCTATAACTCGCTATTAAAAGAGTTATCTCTTTAGAAGAAATTACGTGATTCTCGCGTATTAATTAATAAGCTATATTCTTATAACTTAGAAAAGAAGTATAAGAGGTACTATAAATCGAATTATTCTATTTAAATTAGCGCTATTAAAATCGTTAGCTCTAAAGATATTAAACGAAAACTCTTTATAAAGTATTACGACTATTTAAATATTTTCGATAGAACGAAGGCGAACGAACTATTATTATACCGCCCTTATAATTATAAACTAAAATTTATAGAGGTTAATACCGTCGAACTATCGAAGAGTCGAGTCTATTCTATATTAGAATATAAGTTAAAATAGATTAAGAAGTATTTAAACGAGCATTTAAAAAAGGGTTTTATAATACCTAGTTATACTCCGTTCGTATCCTCTATTCTATTTACCGAGAAACTAAACGAGAGCTTACGCTTTTATATAAACTATCGAAGACTAAATATTATTATTAAGAGAAATCGATATTTAATTCTATTAATAGACGAGGTTCTCGCGAGAATTTAGGGCTATAAATATCTTACTCGATTAGATATTATAGCCGTATTTAATAAATTGCGTATATACCCCGATAGTAAGAATTTTACTATATTCGTTATTTCTCTCGGCGTATATAAGTATTAAATACTCCCCTTCGATCTAATTAATAGCCTAGTTATCTATTAATAATATATAAATAATATTCTATTCGAGTATCTAAACGACTTCTATTAAGTCTATCTCGACGATATTCTTATTTATAGTCGATCGAGAAAGAAATATATTACGTATATTCGAAAGATTCTTTAAAAGCTATAAAAGGCCGGATTATAGATAGATATTCTTAAATATAAATTTTATATTTAGAAGACGAAATTTTTAGGCCTTCTTATTTCGATTAATAGTCTATAAATAAACTCTATTAAAATTTAAGCTATTATTAAATAGTTTATATTTATTAATTTAAAGGAGATATAGACCTTTATTAGCTTTTATAACTTCTATCGTCGATTTATAAGAGACTTCTCGAAGATCGTGAAATTAATAATAAAACTTATAGTTAAGAAAGTAATATTTAATTAATTATCGATCTATTAGAAAGCCTTTTATTTACTAAAGATAGCCGTTATAAGAGCTTCGATTCTACGCTATTTCGATAGATCGAAGAATATTATACTTAAAACGAACTTCTCTAATTACGTTAACGATGATATTCTATTCTAGTATAACGACGACGAAGTCTTATACTCGATAGCTTTCTATAATAAGAATCTTATCTTAGCTAAGTATAACTATTAGATCTATAATAAGAAGTTACTAGCTATTATTCGCTATCTAAAATACTAGCGTTCTAAGTTAAAATATATCGATATCTCTATTAAGATCTTTACGAATTATAAGAGCTTAATATACTTTATTAAAGAAAGGGATCTAAGTCGTCGTTAGACCCGCTATTTAAATATACTATTCGAATTTAATATTAAAATCATCTATCGCCTAGGGCCTTAGAATGTTAAGGCCGACGTATTTATATATATAGCTAATTCTAAGTCGAATAGCTTAGAGAATAAACGCTTAAAGTAGTAATATTAGATAATACTTATGTCTAATCGCTTAAAACTTAATAATAAAGACGTTAGAATTTATATTATTAACGACTCTATCTTTTATAGAATAGTCTAGAAAAATAAGACTAATAAGTTTTATAACGAAATTCGTAAGGCGATTGCGGAAGGTAAGAATAAACTCCGCGGAGTTATACTTAATAAGTGCTTTATAGAGAACGAGGTACTCTATTATAAGAATCGCTTATAGATATTAGAAGGTCTATATATCGACGTTATTCGCGAAGTATATAATTAATTCTTATATAAATATCTCGATATAGCCTATATCTATA